AATATATATATATATATATATATATATATATATATATATATATATATATGGGGGGTAAGGTTTATATACTTCCCCTACAGCACAGAAGAACTATCCTCCCCCTACGATCCAACTGTCCAATTTTGATCAAGAGAGCCACTCACCGTTTGATCTTAGATCCGTCGTCTCAAAGTATTTTATTTTTAGTTTTTTTATACAAATTGTATGAACTCACTCTTTGATCTTAGATCCGACGTCTCAAAGTATTTTATTTTTAGTTTTTTTATACAAATTGTATGAATATGAAATTTGGTATGTGTCATCTTCTCATTGTGTTGCACCTATAAAAAATATTAAAAATAATTTTTCGATAAAATATAATGGCCAAAATACCCCTTGAAACTTTCAGGGGTATTTTTGTCATTTTATTTTTTGTCATTTTATTTTATTGAAAATATTTTTTTTATATTTTTTGCTAGTGCGAGTTTAATAGAGGATTGGAAATCCAAAATTTGGTGTCAAAAGAGTTTATAAAAAAAATTAAAAATAAAAGAGTGTAGAGAATGGACGGTTGGATAAGGGGAAGTATATAAGTTTTATGCTGTGGGGGAAGCATAGAAAGCTTGCCCTATCTATATATATATATATATAGGGTAAAAGTTTATATAGAGCTGAGGCTCTAACCAATCAAATTTGAGCCTACCTCAAAAATTTCTCTAAAAGAGGTCGTTTTGATGCCCAAATACCTTCAATTGATCATCTCGACATCAAGATGTATGGACATAAGAAAAAAATAAATTTCAAGTTTTAGAAATAGTGTATTTTGTAACACATTTTTTTATCATCAATTTTCAAGATTTTTAAGTTTTTTTAGATTTGTTGATCCACACTATTTTTGAAGCTTTAAACTTTATAAATAAATATGAAAATATATTTTAAGGCTATCACAAAGATTTCCAATATTTAAACCACATTTATTGACACTAGTTGAAGGTAGGCAGGCTCTAATTTGATTGTTTAGAGCCTAGGCTCTATACAAACCGCACCCATATATATATATATATATATATATAGGAAAAGTCTTCCCAAAGTCTATAGGCGAAAATAAACAGTGATGTCGCCTACCCTTATCACCATCCAAAGTTCATCGCACGATCACGATTGTCCGGTGGTGTGTCATTTTTTTTTTACAAATCGGAATGATCTGAAATTTGGAGAGTGTGTACATCTTAGTGATGTGCACCTAATAAAAATATAAAAAATAATAATTCGCGAAAAAATGACCAAACTAGCCCTAAAACTTTTCAGGGGTATTTTTGTCAATGTTTTTCATGTAAAATATTTTTTTGATATTTTTCGTAGCTTCGCTTATTTTTTATGAATACACGTCCCAAATTTCAAGTCATTCCGATTCGTAGAAAAACAATGAAAAATGAAACACTATCTGACAATCGTCATCATGTAATGAACTTTGGACGGTGATGAAGGTAGGCGAAATCACTATTGATTTTTGCCTATAGGCGTTTTGTAATATCTTCCATATATATATATATATATATATGATGGGATTATGGTGCATCAACTAACACGCCCTATTCAAGTGCAGTCTCCTTCCCAAATCCACACATAAACAATTTCATTTTGAATTCACTGGGAACTGAAGTGAAAAACCAAGTGTCAAACCACTCAGCAAATGGTAGACTGCTTCTTAATAGACTTAAGGACATTATGTCTGGTTCCAGGAGGTATCAATAGGTCAATAAGAAAAACTTGGAAAGCAGCCGATGGTTGTAAAAAAGGTATAAAAGCATAGATGCTGAAAGAAAATATCACTTTGCATTTACCCAATGAATTATGTTATATCATTTATAATGATACTTAATGGCTCATAAAAGGCAGGAGAAGGCCTAAAAAGACATAGATAGAAGTAGTAGGTAGAGATGAGTTGTAATCTAACTAAGGGTATAGAACTTGATAGAGCGGAATGACATAACATGATTCGGGCAGCTGTTCTTAAATAGTTCGGATACTTGGATAATGATGATGATAATGATGAAACTTTATGCAGCAATGGCCAACTAAATTAGCATTTGTTCTCAACATCAGTCATGGCTAGACCTGACTGTAGCAAAGTTCTATCCCAAAATCTTAATTATTTCAAGGAACCAATTCTGATACTGGTTCTCTTCCTTGACAACTTGAATTGTACATGAACACATGACAAGACTTGGAGGAACCTCATGCAACATAGAACATGATATGAAAATTGACCAGTTTCTCAAGGTAAACTGGGTAAAGGCAATGAGTTATCCGAGCCCCATGGAGCACACATCAAAATTAGATCTGCCACTCCCAGAGGTCATACAAATATGCTTCATCACTGCAAGGTTTTAATCATACCATAAGCCAATGGATTATAGTATTACCATAGGGGCATTTAGTACATTCTTATAATGTTTACCGGAGATGAAGCATGATAGGTTTCAGAGCAACATTCATAAAGGCTCAGTTAATCTCCAACTTCAGCATGGGAACAGACATGGGTGCCCCCACTGGGGTATTATTACTTTGGCCTATATGGTATACCTTCCATCATCATAAAGCTACTTATTGAAAATTCAGAAAGGTGGGATTCATTCATTCAAATGAAACTACCCAATAGCGAACCATCTGGCATAACTTTCATACTCCAAACCACTATAGTATCCAACAAAGGAAGCACATGAAATAAAATTTGGAAACACATACCTTTTGTACCACACCGACAGCTGCTTGTAATGGAGTTAAATGCTCATATGGGAGCTGAAAACCAGCCATGACAGCATGATTAGAACAAATATCCAGAATAATATATTTCATCACCATGACTTTCCAACCTAGCTTTCAAGATGAGGGAGACATTTTTCACCTTTCCAGTTAGCAGCTCCCACAGAACTATTCCAAAACTGAAGACATCGGCCTTGTGATCATAGGGTTTGTGTTCTATAACCTTCAAACGAAAATCAATATCATAAGAGAACTTATTTTTTTGAAATGGAGAATGGGAAGAGAACTTAACGTGCATGTTTGCAATTCAAATGCATGACAATTACAAAGAAGAAAAAGAAGAACTGACCAGAAATCACATTGAAATTTACTCTCTTTTTTTGAGGAAATGGTTAACAATCACATTGAAAATTGTTCACTTCAGATCTAAAGTGTTGTTTGTCTCAGACTGTCAGGAGTGCACCGAGCCCTGCACTCTGTAATGACTTAAAAATAACTGTGTTGCATATGTACATGTTACCATTTTGGTCAATTTTATACAGTGGGAAAGGGTCGCTGGGTAGAATACAAAGGCCCGCACTATCAGTTTCGATATAAGTAAAAAAAAAAAAACCCAATGTCTTAGAATCAGCATTACATTCCATTTTCTCGCTTATCAAATAATTCTCTGAATTTCCTACTCGATGAACTTTGATTATATAAATCATATATGCTGAGGACTCTCATATTCAAAATTCATTTGATTTTCTTTTCATTGCAAAGGTAAGCATGATTTCTTCAGCATTTTTTTCCATAAAAGTGTAAAAGACTCAAACTACAATCTAAGACATTTTGATTGAAGTCATCAATGGTGACATCATCATAATAACACTTCAGAGATTAGAACAGTAAAAAACTTTAGAAGTTTGAACCCCATCTATCACATTAGCAAGAGGACTTAACTCGCTCCGCTTACAGATTGCAACCCTTAATTTCGAGCAGTAGTGTCTTCATATCCAACTTGTATGCAGCCACTAAAGAGAGTCCTAGTATTGCAGGCTCCCAAGGAATCAACTGTAACACAGATGGATCAAACTAAAGGGGTGCATTATTGATGGCACTTGGGCCAGAGTTTTTGCAGCTTCTAAAGATTCTGACGAACTAGCAACGATCGTGTAATTTATTTAATGTGATCAAATCATTTTAAAGGAAAAGTCTAATTCCAAGGAAGTTAGTGGAGATTTTCTCGGAAATCTATCTTGTTGGCCAAGTTTTGTATCACGACGAATTCCCATGTACAGAGGCCATACCAGAAGTTGAAACTTGACACAAACTAGCTTTCATGGTTTTTCTACACAGGCTACGTATATAGTCCGTGTCGAGCATCTAGCACGTTAACCCAAAAATCCAGTATAGCTACGAAACATCTGTACAAAATCACATATATATGGCTATGTAAAGGTACTGATACATGAGTATTTCATTAAGTACTCAACGTTTTTGGGCACTTGATACCCTTACCCTTATCGTGTAGCAATTTTTTGTTTAGGGGTATTTTAGATAATTAATTAAGGGTAAAGTAGAAATTCTTGATAGAAAGAAATCATTTATTAATTGTAGTGGAGGATGACATCATCCACATGAGATGTAATATCACCCACATGGAGCAGTTATTGCTTCTTTTAACCACTAGTAAAACGCCACTAGTTTCTTATAGAATTATCTATCTTACTCTTCTAAATGAATCTTGTTCCCCCATTATATGAGCCTTATCCCAACTATTTGGGATCAACTAGATGAATCTTGTTCCCCCATTCTACTTTATCAAGGGCCATACCATATTTCTTCTCACTACTTCTATCCATATCCTTTTGGGCCTTTCTCTCATCCTTTTAGAGCCTTCCACTTAAACCAAATCACCTTGCCTAACCGACAATATTCTAGATTGACACTGCACATGGCCAAACCACCTAAGTTTGATTTCCCTCATCTTACCACTTATTGGAGCTACCCCTAAGTGCCTTGGATGTATTTTTTTAAAATTCTATCCTTTCTTGCTTGCCATTCATCGTTCTTAACATCCTCATCTTACTACAATCATTTTATGGATATGTTGTTTCTTGGCCATTCAACATTCCTTCCAAAAAATATGGCTGGTCTTCCAGTCGTCCTATAGAACTTCCTCTTCAGTTTCATTGGTATGCGATGACAGTTACACACACACAAAAGTTTATATCAGGTTGCAACCTTATCCTATTGAAGTAAGGCGCACCTAAAAAATACTATAGAAGGGAGTAATCTGATGTTGGATAACCTTCCAATTGACCATCTCGATCTCGAAGATGTATGGAAATGAAGAAAAAAAATTTCAAATCCAAAAAAAGAGCATCTTATAACAAGTTATCTGGACCATCTACTTTCAAACTTTTCAAATGTTTATTGATCTGCTTGATCGGTACCCTCATCTTATCGCCTATTGGAGCTACCCTAAGTTCCTTGGATGAAAATTTTCAAATTCTATCCTTTCTTGCTTGTCACTCATCCTTCTTAATATCCTCATCTCACTACATTCTTTCTATGGATATGTTGTTTCTTGAAAATAGATTTTGAAGCCATCATAAGGTTTTCGACATCAGAACAATATCTGTGAGCAAATTTTAGAGGTGGGCCTTATTTCTACGGTATATGGAGGCAACCTTACACAAACCTCACCCATATATGAATGTACGAGTGATTTTATGACATCATGTCAATGTAATATAATTGGTCTAAGAAGGGTGAGAACCTCAAAATTTCCCTCAGAACTTTGGAGGGATGCTCTAGGATCTAAAGGTTTTAAAATTAGCCGGACTAATACAAAGTACTTGGAATACAAGTTTAGTAATAATAGGAGTAGAGATGAGGAAGTGATTAAGATTTACAGCCAATAAATACCAAAAACAGCGCACTTTCAATATCTTGATCGACAATCTAGAAAAATGGAGAGATTGAGGAAGATGTCACACATAGAATTAGAGTTGGATTGGTGAAGTGGAGATGTGCAACCGGAATTTTATGATCGCCACATACCATTAAAGTTAAAGGGCAAGTCATATAGCACAATTGTGAGACCAACTTTACTTTAAGGGGCAGAATGTTGGGCGGTCAACAAACAACATACCTATAGAATAAATATAGCTGAGATAAGGATGTTGAGATGGGTGAGTAGAAAGATAAGAAGGGATAAAATTCGAAATTAATACATTTGGGAGAATAAGATGGGAAAAAGTAAACTTAGGTGGGTTGGCCACGTGAGGCGCAGACCCAATACAACACCTATTGACAGGTACGAGTTAATTCTAGTGGGAGGCTAAAAAAAGGCAAGGGAAAAGCCCAAAAAGACTTGGAAGTAGTGAGAAAAGATATCGGGACTTATGGCCTCACTGAGGATAATGTCCCTGAATAGAGCAAAATGGTCGACCGGGATTCGTGTAGCCCACCCCAATTAGTTAAGAAAATGCCTCGATGATGATGATGATGATGTCATTGTAATATAATGAAACCACACTTCTAGAAAACCATGTTTGTGGCTTTTGTATGATCTCAAATTTTCCATAGGCACTATCTTCATCTCAACAATCAACTCCAAAAATAAAATAAAATTCAATTTGCACCTTACATAGGGTTAAAATGAGCATCCCTCCAACAATGAATCTAGATCATTCATTTGACGAATTTTAAGGTCCGGGCATTTAGAAATTCAAAATCAATTTCCTTTATTTTAACATTGTTAATTTAATGATAAAAAATCCATATACACAATTTAGAAATAGAAAAAGTTCCTTCTAAGGCCTAGATCTAAGCATCTCACTAAAAGGATGGCCTATATTAAGTGGGGTTAGAAGAACAATTTTCAGAGTACATTTTCAAAATTTATTCGTTTGTAATTGCTCATCAAAATGAAAAGAGCATATATTAAAATTTTGGGGTAAAAAAATGGCCCTAGCGTGGATTTGTAATATTGTTTCATTATCTTACTATATAACCATTGGACACACACACACATAAAACAAACTATATTTGTTTCTATTCTTTTATTTTTTAAACCGGTGTTGTTTATATCAATTAATTTCAAATTAGGAGCTTGCAAAATCAAATCCCATAAAGAATAATTTAAATTTTAGATTAGAAACCACATCTCTTGTTTAATAAATTAAAACAATTTTATAAAAGATGGTGTTCTTTTGAGTCCATATGCACCCTTATAAACATAACAATACATTATAAAAACATAGATAAGTATATGATAATTAATTAATAACATATCACAAAATATTTTTAAGGATATAAATGCACAATTTCCCATACATTAAAGGGCATGCATTTTCAGAGTTTCATACATCAAAAGGCATGCACAAACATATGCAAGTCATGATATCCTCCAATTGTTGCTTTCTTCATAATAAATGACTTTGGTTAGTGATTACACCATACAAACTATAAATGGATGGTGTGTTAGCTATCACCTCTAATACCATATCAAATGGTCCATGGTTCAAATCCCACAAATGTACACCCTTCTATATAACAAAATCAAATATTGATATTGCATGTCTACATATCCTATATAAACATATCAACACGCTGTGTCAAAACAAAATTTCACCCAACACGTATAAAGAGCGTGTTGGCCATGTGTCTGGGTGTGTCAACATGTGTCCAAGTGTCAACACATGCCAATACACGATATGAGGGAGAGAATGAAATGTCTGGGTACCACTGCATTTGGAGAAGGCAGGGCTTTTTCTCACCTTAGACATTTGCAATAGTATTTGTAAACTTTTTCTTTTTTACTTACAACTTACCAAATTAAAAGAACAAACAGGGGGGTCGTAGAAAAAACAATAAGTTCCAGTGAGACCCACCTCAGGAGCCATCCACCTATAAGTTCCTGTTTCTGCAGTCATAACTCCAGATTGAGCTTGAACTCTGGCAACACCAAAGTCAGCTACTTTGACAACCTGCAATGAAATAAGTCATTTCATGATGGAGACCACATTTCTCATAGAGCACAAGAGAACATCAAAAAAAGCTACTTACAATTATGTATGCACATAAATAGGAGCCAAAGGTAAAAGAAGCACACATGACAACTAATCTGAGAAACAGAAACACACAAATAAAGAATAATAAAAAAGAAAAAAGACACCAAAAAGAACTATCCAACTTAGTAGACAATGTCAGCCATATTACTTAATAGACAAATTGTTTTGCAGCTTTTTCAAAGAAAAGAAAAACTGAAAAAGAGATTTAGTCATCATAAGAAGCGATATATGAATATCCTCAACAAAAAATGCCCACGATGCAACCACCAAAAAAAAAAAACATGTGAACTAACGAACCTGTATAGGCGATGATGCTTGAAAATGATTAATATATTAAAACTAGTATGGGATATCTAACTAGTATGAGCACTCCACATTTTTCACTTAAATTCTACATAACATTCTAAGTTAAAATTCAATGTATGCTATGCGTTACCAGAAATCATAAGAAAGTTTTTTACCTCATTTTCATCCATTAGGAGATTTGCAGCCTTGAGATCCCTGTGGATAATATTATTTTGGTGCAAGTAATTCATTCCTTTGGAGACATCAATGGCCACTTTGACTAATGTAGGCAATTTGAATACCCCTCTTTGCTTATGTAGAAAATCATACACGCTCCCACCAGACATAAATTCTGGAAAGAGAGAGCTATTAAAACCCAAGTTTGAGTCAAATAACATGAGAAATCCCGAGGAAAATGAAACCAGGAAAACAAACATGAACATCAGACTACAGAATCCTAAGCCTTAAAACATCATTATACCAGTCACGATGCACAAGCTAGGCGGTCGAGTGCAAGCACCTATGAACTGCACAACATTTCTGTGTCGAACTTTCCTGAATCATTAATAAATGGAACTATTTTGAGATTTATGGCCATCCTAAAGAAGAAACACTTATCCTCAAATGTTTGACCATAAAAAGAACTGGGGACAAAGAAAACATTGTGTTTTTAGAAATGAATAGCAGAATAACCACTATCAAATGAAGAAAATCATAGAAAATGTCCAAACATTAATATTCCATTTACCAATCAAACAGTTTTATACCTCTATCCAGACTATTTTATATGGTAACATAACCAACATAAACAAGACCCTCACAAACAGGATTCATTGATTATCAAGGGATTTGTCAAGTTCATACTTAAAAGGGACATTTTTCTTGTGCATGTTTACATATGATGCAACCAGAGTTCATAAATTGCATGTTGATGAAAGTCAATCAAAGTTTAGAAACAAAGTGCAAGTTATGATGGAAGTACAAATTGCCAGCATTTAGCAATAGAGTATCTGACAGTGCAAAAAATTCAATTACAAGAAAGATAATAACCATAATAGTGCAGTCATCTCACTGAGATGCATCCCCCTTTTATAACAAACAATTTGATTTCAAATTTGGATAATATCATTTGTCAAATAGATGGTAAGTTTCCATTTCATTTCATTCATAGAAAACAACTAAAACAAAATTTTGAACGACAACTTTGTAACCTTTCCATGGACATATGATGCTTATCTGATCCAAAACAACCCTTATATTGAAACCAAGACAGTGAAGTTCAGTACAGAAAGAAACCAGGAGCGAAATATTAAAGAACATTAGGCTTAAGAAGATTTTTCATCATAATGTTAAAAGAGACAAATGTGTCTTAAAGTTCTAAAAGAACAAACAAATTCCATAAAAAATTTCATTAGTACATTTGAATACATTCATTTCATACCTCATTATATAGACTTCCTGGGCAAATTCACGTTGCATATCTACATTTACCCTTTCAGGTTTCAGAACTTTAATGGCCACGTCCTGACTACAATAGGTCCCCCTGTAACTGAGATGGTAAAATATTCGTATAAGCAAAGTTGTTATGGATTCCAACAAAATGAAAAAATGTGAATATATAATAATAGGGAACTCACAGATCACCGTATGAACCAGATGCCACCTTATTTTCAAATTTCAACAACCTGACATCAATCTCCCATACATCGGTACCATCATTTGGTATTTTTACATGCTCAATCACAGGATTCCCATTGGTTTGCACATTCTCAGGTACAGAAGTCAAAGAATATGGCTGTGACCAAGCTTGTTTCTGCCACAACATATTTATTAAGAATAAAATATGGAACCTGATCATAATCACAGAGATTATGTATAACTCATTGGATTGCGTCATTGATATATCATGAAGTGGCATGTTTTGCAGTACTTTGTTCAAGGTCTCATTATCATAGTCATGATCCAATCAAACAGGTGCAAGCAGATAAAAAATTGAAAACACGAAAATCTCTATTACAAGAACATGAACAAGTTAATTTCTTACATGTATGTGTAGATCAGTGCCCATTATCATACCAAGAAATGAAGGTGTGTAAGTTCAGAGCACAATACTAATTTCTAATTACACTAAAGAAGAGATAACTCCGGCTCACTGCCTAAATAGAAAGAAGCAACTGTTGAAAAACTACCTATACATTCATGGCCCTTTCAAACAGAAAAGATTTGAGAAGCACATTTACTTCCTAGATGATCCCAGAGATAAAGCTTCGTGCCAAGAGTCGCAACTCAGCGGAAAGGAGTAAGCGTCATATTTTGTAAGTGTTTAACAGGCCTATGAGTTGAATGACTGATAATGGGGAAACAACAGGGTTCTCTATAAGGCAAAGGAGGCCCTGTATCTCTCCTTTGCAGTATGAAAATGATATTCGTTTGTTTTGTGATGCTTCATATGACAACACAGATAACCCCCGGTTTATTTGATGACTTTTGAGATTACAACCTTTAGAGTTATTTGAAGAAGAACTTCATTATGGGGCAGGGTTGGAAGAAGGGCTTTAAGTTCCTTAGTGGGTAAATTGGTGTCTTGAGTTGGTTCTCCTCTAGATATTTATTTATGGTTAGTTATCATGAACTCTTAGCATGCCTAGGCAGTGCTATCAGATCCATTGCTAGAAAGAGTAGTGAAGAGGTTGGCATGGTGGAAAGTCGTGACAGGAAGAACTACTCCAGTAAAAACTGCTCTATCTAACCTGACAGCATAAGAGTCCAACACCAGCTGCAGTGTAAATCAAATTGAAAAGCTTCAAAGGGATTTTCTCTGCAAGGTCATTTGTGAGAGGTATACATTCCACTTAGTTATGTGGGAAGATGTTTCTAAACCAAATGGAAGTTCTCTCTTATATAGAACTTCCACACATTGGAAGATCCACCTATGGGAAAGTAGTTACATATTTCTTTAGGTATGCATGTGCTTTCCTACAAAATAGTATTGATGGAGCACTACATTAGCAAGGGTAAGGGGTAGACAAAGTAGAACTTGAGGTCTCGGAAGAGTTGTTTGAAGAGTGGTGTGATGAATGGGGTTGGAAATTTACCTTGGCATCCATTACCCCTCTTCCTCTATTCCTTCTCCCCCTGACTATTTATTTTTTACTGTTGTATTTGGCAAGCCTTATGATCACTCTCTTTAATCTTATTGCATTTGAATAGCAGTACTGTTATCCATTGAAAATAAAATAAAATTGCAGATATATAGGAACATATCAGTCCATCAGAATATTAACATTTAAACAATAAACCAGATCTCTGCAACAAATAGTTACCTCGATCTTCGCAATTTCACTTCTAAGCGCCTCTCTGAGCTGATCAGTTTCCTGTGAAATGTAGAACATGATTATAAATAACTCACTGAAAGCCTCATCGAATGCTGTAAATAATAGCAATATCCAATGAAAACATAGTATTTCAAAGTACCAAATCAAGTACAGTAGAACATACACTCGTGACAACTAAGATACTTAAAATTTGATAAAAAAATGCCATAGTACTAGAAACTCAAACTATTTTGTGGACTAAAGGAGTTCCAGAACCTTCATTCATGATCTTAGAGCATCTGTACACAAAAAGACAAGACTGCAGAACGGATTCTCAACAAATCTATCAAAACTAGACCCAATTGCATCCGATATTTTGCTATCTGCTTATGCCAGCCTGAATTTTCAATATTCCCAACAATGTTTTGGTGGGAATAGTAAAAACAGTTCGTATATGACTCTAACCCAACAATATTTTCCACTCTCTCTCTCTCTCTCTCTCTCTCTCACACACACACACACATACATGGCACTCTAACCCCATGAGGTCACAGATGCATAATGGTGACAGTACCACAAGATGCATAATGGTGACAGTACCACAAGGTGTTGCACTCGTGCATTGAACCATTTTTACAACAATGAAACACACTCATATAGACAGCAGAAAATAATAGCATATATAACCAAGAAAATGAATAAGTAATGCATGCATACATAGAATGTTTAAAACTTGGTCAAGACTCAGACCAGACTTGGTCAAACTTGATCAGATCAGGGAAATCTCAGTCAGACTTGGATCATCTGAGTTGGGATCATCTGGAACCGGCAGGGTGCTGGTTCCGAGTGACATAGGCAAGTCGGAGTCGGATTCTTTGAGTTTTTAAATGCTGCATATATTTGTACATAGCATATGGAATAAATAAATGCATACATAGATACAGATAAACATATACGACTACAAAATCATACAAATGTACCACAGAGGCATGGACATCTAATTACCTCAGAGGCCCAACCGTCAACAACAAAGACATCCAACGAATAACCATCCACCGTAGAAAAAGCATGAGCCTCTTGGATGTTCAACCCAACCTCAGAAAGCAAAGCGGTTAACTGAAAAAATAAAATTCATTGTCAATCATTTAAGTGAAAATGCTTAAAAGAAATCATCCAAAGTCTTCTAAACTCAATGGTTAGCACAATCAGAAATGAAACATAATGTGCAGGTAGAGGTAGACAAAAATGATACAGCTTTCAAAAAATTTCAGCATGTGATATTTGGCAACAATGTTATGCAACCTCAACAAGGGGCAACGAAAGAAACACAGAGGTCCAATTACAATGGAGTCAGTAAAACAATGAGCTCATGTAGAAATAACAGATTTTCTGCAAACAAAGATAATAAACATTTTCATTAAAATTGAAAACCAAATAATCATTCTCAGCATGCAAATGCAAATTATAATGTCAACAACCAGTGAAAACAGAAATAGGAACCAAAGCAAGATGCTCAATTATTGTGCAAAACAATAAAAGATCCAACACATCAATGAAAATCCACAAAGTACACACATAGTAAGACACTCAACATGGCAATGAAAGATTAAAAAACTTGCAGTGAGGGACTAACACCAAGAATCATTCTCGACTTGCAGCATCATATTCTAGGCTCAACCACCAAACAAAAAAGAAACAGAAGCAAAAGCAACATGTTTATCAAGAGGAGACATGTTTGGAAACTCAATCATGAAGAAGAACGACTTCAGGAGTAGCAACTAACAAACAAGGCTAAGGCTGGAAACCATATTTAAATCAATAAAAAGAGAAGAAAAGAGTCATAAGCAACAGGCAATCTCAGCCAAACAAATATAGACAAATAAATAATAATATCCAAGGAGAAGACCACGAGATCCCTGCTGCTTCTTGGCATGCACCAAGGAATATGATTAAAAAAGTCAAAGTCGGAAGTCAAAGTCGGTGGCCAACTCGGTTGGTGGCACATCTAAGGTGATTCATCGATTAAACAGAAATCTTGGAAAATCTTGGATGAATTTTTTGGGGGAACAAAAGGCCTTTTAGAAGATGCAAGTGGTTTGTTGGGGATTCGGAACCAGCTTATCACCATGTCCATCCCGCATTTTACCACCTCAAAGAATACCACTTATGTGACAAAGCAACATAAGATAAAAATAATAATAAAACTCATAAAATCACAAGTTTTTAATTCATAAAACAAGGAGGCTGGAGGAGTTGAGTTTAGTTGGAGGGTTTTTTGGCCTTTTGTTTCGTTGCTTTCTTGGATGTACAGCACTTTTTACCCTCACCACCCTCTCGGTGGTATTTGTATAGAGCTCCCGAACTGTGGGCAGCCTATTTTTACTATTACTTGTACAACTTTAATTAATGCAATAGTAAACAGCTAAAAAACATGATAAAGTTGGAAGATCTGCACAATAATTCAAACGGGTATGGGGAAGCATACATCTGTAACTTTTTGTAGCCATGATGACAAGGTGATTATCATTTTGTTTTTGCAGTCTGAAAAGCTTCTCTTTAGAAAAAGCTAGTGAACTGGGTTTGGCCTCCAATAAGCATTTATAGGCAGAAGCTTAGTCGTTTGGTTTCTTTTCTTAGGTAAGTCAGTAGTGAGATTCGAACATGGGACGTAGTCTGGTAATAGTCAACATTATAACCATGCAAGCCCATCCCTTAACCTTCCTAGTCCAGTCTTTGGTGCATCTATCGTTCCTCTCCAAATCTATGGATAAGTGCCAAATACTAAATCCTAATTGCCCAAGGTGGGCAAAGAAACAACTTTACATCCACGAATTTCCCAAGAATCGGAAATAGAGCTCTGGTTTTCTTGGAGTAGGAAGGCCAGCTTCAAGCAGAGGCAACCAAGCTCCAGCACAAACTATCTTCTCAAATATTGTATAATCTCAAATTTGGATCAAGATACACATCAAAGCTATTGTCAACATGTAAGTAGGTCTAAGTCAAAGCCAAAGCTGCAGCAAAATATTCAGGTACAAGAATAAATAATTTCATTTGACATCGTATGACTCACATTGCTTAGTTATTGCCACCCTAGTATTGAAAAGTGTCGACAACGTCACAATGTCAGAGAGGCTTCCTAAGTGTTTGCCACCATTATGTATATACATATACAACCCTATAATCATGTCTGTTAATGATTAAATAGTGGTTGTGAACCAAGCTACAATACAATGTCTACCCTTTTTCGCAGGAGATAGGTGACTGTTGGTTTCGAACCTCTGACCTCAAAACATAGCTGACCTACCCAAGAAAACGAGGAAGTCTCATACATTAATACAAGCATCATTGACGCAAACTCCAAATCCTAATCTGCAAACTGCATCAACATAATGATAAAAGCTACAAAAGTAAGACTAATATCGTGAAAGACTTGCTTTCTGATGTCCTAATGAAAGGTTTTATGCCATCATTTATAGAAATAGATTAAGAAATATAAGGTCAATAGGACATTGTGCTGTGAACAACAATACATTAGATTCATCTAACACCACCACCAATCATAAAGAGTAGTAATAGAGAAGTAGTAATAGCTACAATCCCAGAATCACCGTAATCCTGAAAACCTTGCAGTCTCAACACCAAAGCATCTAGTGACATCAAAAACCAATCTCTCGGACTTCACTTCTTATTCTTCTTATAGTCTATATAATTCATCTTTTTCTATTAGAGCATCAGTCTAGTTGTAATTACTTACTAAACATATAATGGTAATGGCCTATAGAGGCCACAACTTCCTCTCATTATTTTCGGGTCAACAATATAAACTATGTGTCAAATTATGTGTCTATCTCTTCAAACATAAATATATAAATTATGCCTCTATTTATATGTACTAATTTTACTGGTAAGCATATGGTTTCATGACACAAGTATTTTATGCTGGCATAATAGTAGGTTTCATGACTCAATTATTTTATGCTGGAGTAAGAGTAGTAAACTAAGATCATCATGCACTAGGGGCAAATCTATAATTCTGCATTGATTATACGAAAAATGAAAATAATAGCCTAACACAAGACTAATGTGGTTCAATCACACCAACAAGCATTTCTTCAATTTTCATTTAGAAGAAAGGTAACAAAAAACAAAACCATGTTTATCATCATAATAAATAGGCCTTGAATGCTATAATGCAGTAGCATGTACCATGTAAAAAATATGAAGGCCATGGGGATACCAGAATCGACTTCTTGAGAAAAGATACACCATATAAGTCGAACAAATTTAACTAGTGTGATGGTAAGAGAAAAGGGCCGTGATGCTGTCTGGTAACAAAGAGCACGTAAGCACATGCATAGAAAAAGAAAAGTGAAATAGCAATGCAAAAAGGCAAACAAGTTTTGTTTCTTTTGTAAAAATAGACAAGAAATCAAATCATGTTACATGTAAAGAAAATAGAGTTACAAATGAATAGCCAAAGGGGCAAACATCTAAGGTAGAATACAACCCCAGAGCCAAATACTATTCTCAGATACACGCGTACTTGACAACCATCATAGATGTCATGAATCTTTATAATATATTTTCAGATCTACAGCAAAGATAAACATGGCTAGTTAATAAATTCAAATAAAGTACTTTAAATACTTCTGAGCAATACCTGACTCAGAAGCTTTGGCTTATCATCTGTTGAAAATGTGATCTCATGCATGGGTCTGCATAAGCAAGGAAAACAAAATTTGCATATCAGAGCTCAAGCCCAGTTCATATATATTATTATTACAAGCCATGATACACTGCTTGTGTTATGATGACAATAATCTTTCTTTTTTTTTATATTGTTAACTGTACTATGATGACAATAATCAAGACATGATATTGCTACAAGCCATGATATTATTACTTGTGCTATATCATAATAATCAATAATAGCTACGACATTAGTAACTGTCCTAATTACCATGCAAACATTTCATAAATCAAGTCTTTAATCCCCAGAAAGTGAAAATGAATCACCAATACACATTGCAATGTAAATAAAAAAAATGCAATGGTACTGAAAGTGAAGATGCAGCTGACTGCATCAAAATAGGACATACAAGTTCCAACAAGTAATCAAATCATCATCACCACGTCAAATATCATGTTCCACAACATTGATCAGTTTCCAACAACACCTCCACATCATACTTTACCCAACCTTACCTCATAAAAGCTCCTTATCCCTGCTTGATTGCTTATTCATTTAAGGAACAAAGCCTTCTTAACCATTTTTACATCAAGGTGCCCATGAACCTTAAGCCACCCTTCCATAGTCCACAGGCTACCAGAGCCTTATTCACCATTTGATTCACTACAAACGGCCCCCACGCTCCATGGATGACTAACTCAATTAGATCAAGCGATGTTAAAAACTTATAATCATGTCTCCCATAGGAACTCATTGAATTTGACAAATCGATGACTCACCTCTTTAGGAATCCTGAATAGTAACATATAAAATACAGGGAGATTTCCCTAGGTATGGTTAGACTGCTAATGAGATATAAGCCCCCCTTTGCAATCGTGCCTGTAGTTCCTGAACAGCACAGAGCAAAAGCATCCTATGCACTACTGCTATTATGGAGATGAAAGCAATTGTTTGCACAGAGCAGACTTGAGAAATTGTCTTAAAACCTCTGCTATTATGGACATGAAAGCCACTTGATCTTGACAAATATCAAGCTGTGGGGCCAGTAAGGTTCTCAGTAGCCCTCCAGATTCAGGGAATTATTTTGAGCATTGAAATAGTAGAAGTGATTGAGAACTCTATAACCAAATATGGAGAATGTACCAATGGACTACTACTTTCCTTAAATCCTAGGACATGGGGCGAAAGAAAATATAAAGTTTGTGCAATTCGATGGATGCGGATTACCTACAAGATTATCGCAAAAGTTTTTTCTCCCAATATTTGAAAGATCTTTCCAGTTTCTTATAAGCCAGTAGTTTCAATGACAGGAATTTTCTAGAGGATTAGATTAAAATGGGGGAGATTAAGAGGGACCAAAAGAAGTTTGAAGGTCGTGAAAGCAAAGAGGCAGTGCTAAGTTATATGTGACCAGGAGATTGATCATGTAAAATGCATAAAGCATAGCTGTTAAAAGGAGGTAAATCAGTTGTTTATGCATAAGCGTGTTCCTACACACACACATACACCGAGCGAGTGCGTCTTTCACTCAAAACATTCTCCAGTCTCTTATCTTGTGTAGAACGCCTACTAGAACTTATAAGACATGCCACAATGGTCAATACATGTATCCATCCAAATATGTTCTATGAGGTGCCTCATTTAGCAGTGATGCAGAAATGAAACCATCTTTAAAAACAAAAGTTATGATCATAAATTCCTGCAAGGAGTAAACCTGAAGATATCTTGCCTATCGCACATACATGCATATAGGAAACTTCACTTACATAAAACCCAGGGATGGCAAATAAGACAGCTCGAGAAGAGCATAATTTGTTCCATGTTAATTAAAGCACACAGTTCAAAATTTAAGAGAAGCACCTCGTCTGACGAGTCCTTCCCTCCTTTCTGTGAAATAAACGTTCATGACCTATCTTAACAATCACAGGAAAGTTCAGACAAAGTACCTAGCAATACTGGGATTGGCATTTACAGCACTGTCACCATCTTTAACTTGTGACTTGCTAGATTCAATAGCAAGAGCTTCAAGATTTGGGGAAGAACCAAAAGCAGGGGGTGGATGAACACTGCAATATTAAATAGGAGATAAACGCATCAATGTAGTACAGATTTCAATCAGCAAGCAGACAAAACGTCAAGGAAAAGAAGATAAATTAGGCAAAATGATAGATTTTTCAGATAACGAAGTGAACTAAAATGTAAAACCATATTGAAAATTTTTATAATGAAGAATGGAAGGATACATCCACAATCAGAGGCGTGTTAGCAGTATCATGGCAAAAATTGATATTATAACAAACATATATGGAAGAAAAGGACACCTTTGTTTACTGGCATGACTAGAAGCAGTTTCACCATCATCATTCCCAGGTAAGTTTAATGGTAGAGCACCACTTGTTCTTCCATCATTGGAAGAAGCAACCTATGAAGGCAATGTACATGAATGAATTAGGTTGCAAACTATAATGCCTAGACAGAACAGAGTAAGATGTAAACCAAGTATTAACCAAACAAAAATAGAAAGGAAAGAGGCCATTCAAGTTTAAATAAGAACCAAACAAATCAGATGATAGAGCACAACCCACCGTAAACCTGATGCAAATGAATAAGGATTTCTAAGCTGAAAGATGCTATGAAGCTGTCAAGATTGAGAAATATGAATAGTGACGCACATGTATACGTTAAGAAGACAAGGCAAGAGTCTCAATCAATATTTTCACATTCTCAACCCACGTAAACGCTAAGCATAACACATCTACATGCAATGATCACAAAGAACCCAAATGACCTAACTGTTTCTTGGAAGCCGGCAATTCCCCAACAATCCATCAATAAAATCGACGACGTAACAGAAACCCATATAACAAAATCTCTTGTAAGTTAACAAAGAATAACAAGAAAAGGCTGCCAAAAACTTTGGTGGTTCTTTTACCTGAACAATGCGAACATGGAATGCAGGTCTGTTTGCAGGGTCCTGTGCCAATTGCAATAACTTCTTGTGGGTGAGAACATCTTCTGCCCTCTCAACATTCACATCGATCGCATACCTACATAGAAAACAATTTGGAATTAGTTATCATCTATTGGAAGAATATGATCCTTGTCTACATGGACTTCAGAATCCGAGCAGGAACTACAAGATAAAAATTTGAGGAAATTTGCATTTTGGTCTACAAAAACATTCTCTATCACTAAAAGCAATCAAATTTTCAACAAGAAAATTGGGAAGGTGGAAATTCTCTCCCTATAGTTGTTTCGTTGCTGCATACCACTCTCGTGGCATGCATGACTGGTATAATCACATGCATAAGTGAAGCAATAAACTCCACTTCTCTACATTCACATTGATAGAGAAGAGAAAGAATTGAATTTATTCAAATAAACAAAGATATAACACACCAGGTAACACAAGATCCCAATAACACAGAAAGACAGCCCAATTCCCTCTAATACCAATACTCCAAAAAGAACTACTGTTTTCAATCCATAATTTAAAGCCGAAAACAGATCATTTCAAAATCAGCCGTAAAAAAGAAACACAAGAGCCCTAACTCAAGGATCCCAAACATATCAAACTAGGATCAACTCATACTTCAAATTTAAGAAAATTCTTTCGTTTTTGTTTAAAGAAACAGAAACCAACCCATTAACAACCGCAACACCGAGAAAGAGAGAAAGTGAAAGGGAACGAGAGAGAGAGAGAGAGAACAAAGGCGAGCGAGAAAAGCAGAGTCCGAGAGAAATACAGAAAAAACTATGAAGAGAGAGAGGGGGAGAGAGAGATAGAGAGGTGATTGGAATGGACCTTGGAGGAAGGCGATTGAAGTGGGTCCATAGCTCATCTTCGAAACCAAGAGAGTTAGCCTCGTCGTTTCCACTCTCTCTGAGTCGCCTCAAAACCTCGTTGTAAACCATAAGCTTGTGTCTCTGCTGCCTCGGATGAGTCGGCGAGGAATCCACCGCCCTACTACTGCAACTCTCGTTGTCCTCCATCGCCATTACGAAACCACAAGCCAAAAAAAACTACAAAGCAACTGGTATATATATCTCTCTCTAGAGAGAGAAAGCGGCAGCATCTAGAGAGAGATCCAGCGAAGCTTTATGAGAGCCTAGTCATGGCCCACGTGAAACGCAAAAAGGAATATAGAAAGATAGAGAGGAAGGAAGAAAGGATTTGCATGAAAACTCAGAAATAAATGGGTATTTTTTGGCGGAGGCGCCGCTAGTTTGTTGAAGGCATGTTTTTTATTAATAAAACGAGAGAGGGAGAGGGGATTTTTAGGGGAAGCCACCACGATATGCATTCCACATGGTTGTCGATGTGGATTCTACTCAAAGCTTTAGAGAGAGAAAGAAATAAATGGGTTAGAGGGAGAGAAAAAACAGAAATGATTTAGAGAGAGAAAGACAGAAATGGGTTAGAGAGAGAGAGAGAATACAGAAATGGGTTAGAGAGAGAGAGAGAGAAAGGGAGGGAGAGAGTGACAGACTAGAGTTTTGAGTTGAATCGGTTTGACAAGTGGGCTCGAGTCCACTGGAACCCATGACCACTAAGAGGCCGTCACTTTCATGAGCCCACCTCATCCATTTTGGACTCATTGGCCAAACCATTGCTCCATGCTCTCCTACTCCTGAGTTCCACCGTGTCCGGAATGAATCCTCACCACTCTCTCCCTCTCTCTAAACGGATTAATGACTAAAATATCCCTACTGTAAATTATTTCCTTCTTCATCCCCACGAATATTTTAAATGTCAAAAAGCCCCTGCAAATGAAAATGACGAAAGTGCCCCAAAAAACCGGGCTTTTCGTACTGAACTGTCATTCGAGAAAAAGGAGTGGGCATCGAGGAGATTTTTGCATATTGAGTTTGACTCGAAAGCGAAAAGATGCTAACAAAGGAGGGAATATCCGGGATTAATCAAACCACTAAACGCGATTCACCCGTTAAACCCGAGATTTGCAAATTAAACACGTGCCTGGAAGAGGAACCAAGCGTGTGGATAAGGGAGGATGACACGTGGGAAAACGGCCCTTGAGTGGGTCGAAAAGGCAAGAGAAAATGGTTGGGCAGGTGCCAGCGAGGAGGGATGCATGTCGCTAATGGTCGGCGCTGGGTTGGGTTAATAGAAAAACCTATCCGTTTGATGAATTTTTTCAAACTAGTTTTGTTTATTTTCTCTTACATTTCCTAGGGAATCCGTCAACGAAGAGGGGGAGAATTTTCCCCTACAAAAAAAAAGAGAGGCAATGAAAGAAACTACAGAAAACAAGAAAGGGAACGAAGGAAGAGAGGGAGGTGGGAATCAAGAGAGATAAAACAAGTAAGAGAGGAGAGAGAGGCAATAAGAGCGCGGCAATGAAGCTAGAAAGACAAGTCTGAGAGAGAGTATTCATTTTTTTTAGTAGGAAGACTAGGCTTCTATGATTCTATCCGTTTCGTTTTTTTAAATAGTTTAGGAGTTAGGTTTTTTGAGTGTTTGATGACCGGGATGCTATCACCACGACAGACACGAGCTCTTTTTTCAGAGAGAGAGAGAGAGGGTGTTTATTGATTGTAAAAAAAAAATGGTCATAAGCTTGTAATAAAAGCGTAGAGAGCTGGAAAGAAAGATTGAGAAATAAAGTCGCCAAGAGAGAGGCAGCTAAGACGGAGAGAACCTGGAGAAAGAGAGAGAAAAGCAAATTTTCATGCCTTCTTCTTTCTCTCTCTATAAAAAGCCCTATGTTCATGTCGGACGGTTTCTCTCTCTATCTCTATCCAGTGTCTATGGCTCTGAGAAGAGGAAGCGTGGTGAGCTGTCTTGGTCCCCTTGGCGAGCCTCCCCCAGTTCGGAACAGTCCCGTCGGGACTGGATCGCCACGTGGCATGTCGTGGTGCTGACTATGTGCCATCCCACTTTAACGTAAACGCATGCATGCTCGGCACGTGCACAGTTCATGAAATGGGATGAGGGCGTTTTAGCAGCTCATTTTCCCAAACCCTAATTACAAAGACGCAAGAAGGTTATTTAATAGTTTTATTAGGTCAAATTGGACACCAAACTAGTGCCAAGTCTAGTCTAATCGAAATGAGGTTATTTTATAATTTTATTACGATAAAATTAGGTACCAAATTAGTGCGGACTCTAGCCTAGTCGAAATGATCCGATAATTGGTCTTATTAATTCAAGTGAATTTTAAAAAATATAAAAGATGTGAAAGATAGTTTAAAATATAAAATTTTTTAAAAATAGTTGTCCCACGTTCTTTGGCCGGATAGACCGCTTGAAACCAGTAAGTCAGATCAACCAAACACTGGTTTTGACCAATTTTTAATAAAATCTAATTTTAACTCTAAACTACACCTTTCAAAACATCGTTAAGCAATTCGTTCAGTCGAACTACTGACCTCATCTGGTATTGATAACTCTAATTTTGTAAAAATATATATTATTTGGGTACTACTTGTGCTCTACGTTGGTGTTCGAGTACTATTGTGTACTACACACCTTCTTCACCGTTCATTTTCAGTCTATGGAGATGAGCTGCTTCTCCATTATTGATGACCAGAGGTAAGTCTTGGCCCATTTTGCATCGCTCAGAATGAACACGTTTGATGCACTAAATTGATCAAAGAGAAATCTATAAAAATATATCTAATTTATCAATAATATAATAGATTCTCTTTTTACAACTATTCCCGCTCCCAGTCATTCCTAATAACGTTGGCATTTTGAAGGTGAAATATTAATATTTTGTCTATTTTGATAAAGTTCTTTTTGATTGAAAAAATTACATCTAGAACATTAGTAAAAAAAAAAATGTAGTCTCTAATTTTACAATATAAATAATTAAGAAAAAATTATGTCTATATCTGTTATTTTTAGTGATAGAAATATTTCAAAATTTCTACATTCATGTGTACCCATTTTTTCCCATTCATAACAATTTGATTATCGGGTTACCCAAAATTTTTAAACCAACATCTTACTCAAGTTGAAAATACTGTATACAGAGAAGAGTACACTTATGAATGGTTTCCTTTCACACTCTCTCTCTCTCTCTCTCTCTCAAATCTTGACCAAGTTTTAAGCATGTTTATTAATTGCATGTTTATCCACAAAGCGTATGTCAGCGATTGGGCATTAAGGCGAAATTTCAGTTAGAGAAATGGTGAACCCTGTCGCCCGGACCCTTTTCTTTTATCAATGTAGTTTTTTTTCAATAATGTTATAAAAGCCATATTATTGGAAAAAAAGCTTATGCGACCTTGTCGGGGGGATAGATATTTTTATTTTTCTTCTTTTCATTTTTTTTTTTTTCTTTTAGCAAAGGTCATTTACAAGTAGTCTTATTTCAATAACTCTTGCTTCAAAAAAAATAAAATTAACAAATCTAAGATCTTAAAAACCTTGATGTCATTAAACCAATTTTCTTTAAACAAAGAAAATATCGACATTTCTTATGCTTGTGAATATAAAGACAATATAATTAAATATGACAAGAAACAAAAAGAGAGTATCAGATATTACTTCAACCGGTTTTATTACACCCTACACCGAGTCACCACCATCCGATGGCACGAGATCACGATCAACCTTAAATCTCAACCTAAAAAGCAAGTTTAAGCCATGCCCTCTAATGGAACTATGAATTCCTTTATCACAAATCTCAACCCCTTAGGTAAATCTCCGTAGCAACTTAGTTTGAGATAAATACTTCTCTTTTCTACCACAACCCTATAGTCTAAAACCCCGAGAGATGAGAGATTATGAGATGGTTGAGAGAACCACCATGAGAGAAATATCAATGATGAGAGAGTAGGGTGTGCCCCTTTAGGTATCTTGAGGGAGAGAGAAAAATTCTTTTAAGAGAGAAATATATTCTAAGTGGGGTGTGCCCCGGTTTATTAGGGCTTTCTTTGGCTCGTCTTTTCTTGTGAGATTGAATATGAATCATTGATCTTGGGTGATTTGTGGGGTGAGAGATTTGAGTCATCTATTCCATAAATGGGCTATCAATATTATAAAAAGTGCTAGAACCTTTATCCCCCATTCCTAAACTATTTTTCCATCAATAGAAATTAAATAAAATAATTCTATTCATAATATAGTGCTTACCAAAATTATACACAAGTCTTCTTATGCTTTCCAAAAGTCCTTTAAAAGCTTCCTCAATGCAAAATCTTTCCAAAACACTTCAAAGCCTTCTCTTCAAGCCAAAACTTGAACTAACACAAGGAAAGTTTCATTAGGGTAAAACACTTCAAAGCTTTCTCTTCAAGCCAAAACTTGAACTAACACAAGGAAAGTTTCATTATGGTAGGGTGTGTTACTCTAGGTGGTACTTCATGGGCCCCACCCACATGGTGAGCCCATTAACATATTGGACCTCCAATGCAATATTAAACTTATAAAAATTAATTATATGATTTTTAAAAATCCATAAAATCATATTTAAATATTTAAATCAATCTAAAATCAATATCACTATTTTTATAAATTCAAATTTGATAAATAAAATATCCAGATAGCTAGAAAAATTCAAATAATAATTCTAAAAATCATATATCATTAAAAAAAACATAATTAAATTTATTAGATGAGAAAATGATCCATATGGTCTAGGAATTAAATAACTAAACGCTGAGGCACTCCACCTTCAACTGTGGACTACGGTCCATACTTGCTTTATCAAATCGACTCAGTGTTTCTTATGACCCACAATCTATGCAAAGGCTAATTAGTGAGTCACCAAAGTCTGGTCAATGAGCTAAGGGGTGTTAATTCCAGTTGTAGATTTCAGGTTCTTCCCTAGAGACGTACCAAGGTCACCTAGACCTGATGCGACCACAACTCCTATCTCTCGCACATGTATAAGCTTCACTTTAAAAGGTAATTCGCTTTTCCGAAACAGTTATCATTTTGCTTATCATCTGATGGATCATGGATGAGGCTTTAGCCCCCGTCTCTGAAGACCACCATCACACACAAATGTCACACAGTCTATCGGCTCACTTATCCGAGCATACTCTGACCTCATCAAGGGATGATCTATTAAAATCTTGATCGGATAATTTTCTATGCATAGGTAACATAGGTATTTCCCAACCGACTAGCCTAGCTCGTCAAGCTCAGTCCGGTATCAGTAAGCGTCGTTTGCTTAGTACCACACTCCCACTGAGTTCATGTTTCACTATATCATTTCATTTTACAAGCACTCATAAGGCTTGTAATAGCCACACTCACCCAACAATTATCGAATATGTGCAACCTCATGTAATTAACATGAGGCAATGCCTCATACTTGAATCCATTTTTTAACTTTACTAGAATGTAGCACT